ATGAAGGGTACAACATCGCCAATTCCGACGGAGCGAGTTTTATCATTGCTGTCGCACCTGTCTCTCTTCGCAATGCCATATACCTAGGATTGTTACGCCGCATGAAAGTGGAATGTGCATCGAATTCATCACGCACGAAGTATCAGATCTCGTAAAGCACTTTCCGCAGACCGTGTGGTAAGAAAACCGATTGTGTCCTATGAAAGAATACATTTTGAGAGAATACTTTCGCGCGCGCCTCGATATCGAGCGCGAGGCGGCTTTTCGAGGAATCTGAACGAATTACGCAAATTATACGGGGACAAAAGAATACTCGTAGAGGAACTCTCTGCCAGAGACGATCGGGCAATAGGATGTCGACTCGGTTCTTCTCACTCCCGGTTTCTCGTGACGGAGAATTCGCTTCGTCTCACGAGAAATCTTGAAACGGATCGGCGCCGCGGAACCGAAACGATCAACGCGTCGGTCGCTTCGGCTTCGAGAGATTTGCCGTACATAAAGCAGAAAAGGAGACGACCGCACTTTTCGTTTTATAATCGCTCTAGCGAATGTATGTTTGTACACACACATACACACACATTCTATACTTTGCATGTAAGTAATGCCTATTTTCCAAAGATATACGTATGAAACACACACTTTCACAATCACTGAGTTACACGCGCGGGCGACTGAAATCTCCCTTCTTCCTTGCGCTTTCGCTCCGACGATGTTCTCCGCGCGCGTTCCTGTCATCCCTCGACGCTTTCTGACATAACCGTCGAGGTATCACAGGAACGTACTGTCGCCGTAACAAACCGTCGCCCGTCAACGTCGTCGGGGTGACAATCGGAGAAAGTGTGCACACACACGATTTTGTTTTGCCTACTCAGGTTCCGCCATTTCCAGGAAGCTGAGACTCGACAACACGGCAACACGGTCAGCTAGTGTCGATCAACCGCGAATAATCCTGAAGGTATCTCCCGCGAGATACTCTGGAAGTCATTGAGCGGTCTCAGGACTTTGCTTTACAAGTTTCTTTCGTGTTTTTTCTTGTATTTTCTGAAATCTACGCGGTTATATTATTGGCACTGATCAACGTTGCCGCCATCAGTCTCGCGACACTTGGAACGTTAACGAACATCCCTCTACCGTACGGTGTCGCTCTCGCAGCGGTACTATCTACGAAATAGCACTCACATACGAATCCTGAATCATCGCAACTCAAAACGGCGTATGCACACACACACAGATGTACGGTACAATTTCGCAAGAAAGACAAATGATATCGTGAGAAAATGTTGATCACAAAAAAGAATGTCGTAAAGATTATGCCGTTCGTTGGTGTCACGCATCAAACACCGTTCTTTTACCGTAAATTTATTCCTTGATCCAGCTCCGACCGAAAGAGATTTCTATCCCTTTCTTTTTTCTTTACTTTTCTCAAGACTCGTCCCTTTCTCTTAGGAATGTTTTGAGGCTGTTTCGGCTTTCAAAGTAAAACGGTTGAAGAACGGTTGAATTCGCTCGATCGGAGTCTGGATTGAATGTCGGTGAAATCGTAGATCCTTACGCTTCACTAATGTATTCGACGGACCAAAGGGATACGTCATGATCCGTGGATACAACAGCCGGCAACTGGATCGCAGGAGGGCGCTCTCGTTTCTCTCTTTCTCTCTGATCTTCGATCGAGCCGTCCTGCCGTTCGATGCGCTTCGTGTGCTCCATTCACAATACTGCGATGTTATTCTTTTTCATTTAGTATAAAAGTCTCATCCGGTTGTCATCAATTGTACGTAGGCAATTCGAAATTCAGTACACACATCACGGGTACACACTCGACTACTAGACTTGACATGTGTACTTAATGAGGAATCCTTAACGATTAATCCTTACGCGTATTATTATATGTGATGCTTATGAGTTTATGAGCTACCATACTAAAAGAAAAAACATACACCACTGAAAGATTATATCCTTATATCTGCGATCACGCGTTTACAGCTTACACTCGGATCGCTGAAAGCTACGTTTGCACTGTGCATACGCTTAGTGGAGATGTAATGTTTCGTGGCATGGGAGCAATATTCGTACGATACGCGTCACTCTACTCTTCCGTTGTAATAAAAATTCCTAACGTCTGCTCCGTTCTACGGTCTTTTCCATTAGTATGTAATCTCTTTCTCTCTCTTTCTCCTCCTCTCTCTCTCTCTTTCTTTCTCACGCGCAAACACGCATATACATGCGCACACACATATATTCTTCTTTCTCTCTTCACATGTATTCTTCTTTCTCTCTTCGCATATATTCTTCTTTCTCTCTTTACATGTACTCTTCTTTCTCTCTTTTTCTCTCACACACATTCATCAGGCATCATTACACCACCACCCATATACAAGTAGTGAAGCACATTAAAAACATAGCAATAAGCTAAGTATTATGTAAGTATATTGGAAAACTTCCACTAATTCTATGCAAAGTATAGTTTGTAGAATACCGTTCATTAAAACTAGTATTTACGATAATAGTAAGACGATATTTTTGGCCTTTTTCTCTTTTTTTTTTTTCTTAATTCTTTTACTCAAGAATCATCATCATTATCATCATCTCTCCATCGGAGCACAGCTTTGCCTGCGCTCGGACAGGTTCACTCTCCGTATAAGCACGTGCGCACAAAACCGAAAGAAAACGACCGGAGCGTTATCTGAGCGCGATCCTGCGCCCTCATCCTTCCTCGTTTTGTTTCGTATAAAGCGGCCGTTCTGATCAGCAATCAGAATTGAGGTACATACATCGTAGATATAGCGTGTGCTTTTTTTGTTTTTCTTTGTAACCCCTTCTCGAATGTTCACGCTATTCGGATAAATTACATCGTAGAATCGTTAAATTATAGATGAGCTCAACTCACTTATGCCCTGCCGTGTCACATCGAAATGACTGAAACAAATCAAAATTATCATCTCTGCCGTTTCGTCGCGCGGAACGCATCGCTTCGTTCCAAACGTCGTGCAAACGTGCGTCGATCGTGCGTACCCGCGCGTGAATCTGTCAAAGCACAATCCGTTCAACGAACGTTTTGTGGGGCATATCGTGCAATGTATGTTTTGCATGTATGTATGTAGATTTATCTGAGATTAGCTAAAATCTACTTGAAACTGGATCAAGAATTTCAATAACTTTCACCATATCCTCCGTGCTATTATATGCACTGTAACCGGCGCGAGTGATTTGACAAATTCGACGCGCGCAACACCTGACGCGAAACACCCGTCACAATAAGAATTTAGCCAGCTGCAACTAATCAACATTCCCGCTCTCGACTAATGCCTCGGATCAATGAATGATTTTTGCATGTGACAAGTCGAGACTGATGCTATCTCGCAGATCTTTTAAGATTCACTGATCGTGACTACGGAACGTCGTTCGTGGCGGCGAATATATCCAGATTTTCCCGTTCGATGCAGCGCCGAAGAATCGCGAGCAGATGATAGTCTGACTCGATTTTTACTTGTTGAAACGCGACGGTCGCCTCAAGTGTGGTATCAGCTCTGTCCTCACAGTTCTGGCGTAATTGGATGCAGCGTACTGATCGGTCACCGCGATCGGGCTCTGCAGACTCTGGATGAACATCGACGAGTCTTGTATCTGACCTACTCCTGCCGTCTGATACTGGTATTGGCTGTTCGTCATATCCGCGGTCGGATAATGATTCGGCTGGACGAACTGCGGCGGGTTCTCGTACTGCGGGTACGGGATAGAGCTCTCCGTGGAGAACTGCGGCATCACCGGATTCACGTTGACCGGTGTGGTAGCGAAGCTGCTGGGGTCGTAGGTCTGATACTGATTCAACTGGCTCAACTGTGTGGTGTTGTACGGCGGCGACTGCGGGAACTGCGCGGTATCGGAGAACAGTACACTCGTGACCGTCGGCTGCGGGAAGGGATCCGATCTGGGATACGGCGAAATGCTGGCCGTAACCGCGTTGTTCAGATTCTGTACACTTGGTATACTGGCGATCGAAGAAGTGCCGTATCCGTGAAACGTCTGCCGGCCGTGCTGATCCAGGTCCTTCACGCCGCTCTGCAGCGAGCTCATGACATTGAGCTTCGACTTGGCGAGCGAGCCAACCGTCTCGCTATGTTTGGTCCGCGCATCCGTCAGCAGCGGATGCCGGACATTCACGATGCTTTGCGGTGCGCGCAGCGGCGGGAAATTGGTCGGCGCCATCTTCGACGTCGAGCTTTGCTGTTCCAATGCTTTGCGCGCTACCGCGAAAGCACTGTTGTCATTCCGAGACACGGCTCCGGACTGATACGACGTGCTGGACGGCGTGTGATTCTCACGGTGCAGAGCGGACGCAGACGCGGACGTGGATGCCGATGTTGACGCCGACGACGATGACTGCGTTGCGAACCTCAACGGCAGATTGGCAGCGCTCATTGACGTGCCGCTGCCGCTGTTCCTACTCTTGTAATCCGGATTATTGACGGACACCTCCTTGTAATCCGATTGAATAGGATAATTGTTGATGCTCGAATCCGCTTCACCCGGAAACTTCTTCGCGGCGTAATCCTTCGGCTTGATCGGATTCTCGTGCGCAACACTGTTGACGCAAGTGCTGATAGCTCGCATGCTACTGAACGTAGAACTGGAGTGCTGTTTCGCGCTGACGATCGACGCGTTTTTCGTCGTGTGCTGTTCGCTCGAATTGAAATTACCGTCATTATTACCGTTACTTTTCTTCGACGAGTTAATTTTACCGGCGGTGATCGAATTGGCGGACGTCGCGATTGCGAAAGTGGCATCTTTGCTCGTTGTTGTCCTGATCGACAGTTTGGACGCTCTACCCTTGTTGCTGATGTGGTCTAGCTTCTGTCCACTTTTCCTTCTATTAGAGATCTGGCTGTTAGATGATAATATCTTGACGTTCATATTGTTATTCTGATTTTTCGATGCCAAATTACGGTGGGGCTTGCAATTGATGGTGACAGCTGGCAGGAGCGAAGCGCTGGCTCACTTCTTGGTCATGATTTTGAGATATTCCAGAGCATTTTGAGCAGCACTGGCTTGAGCATCTTTACTAGTCACGCCGCAACCATAGCAAACTGCTACTGGCAGGGTAGACAGTTGCACAAGGCACTGGAATTTACCTTTGAAATAAAATAATATTGTTTAAGTCTAACATGATATTTTATTTAATTTTGTTTTGTAATAATTCACTGTATGATTTTTGTTATGATTTATAATAATGTAATATACGATACATGTAAATATCACATGTATAGAAATTATAGATATCAACACATGTGTGAAAATGAAGATATGTTATTATCTAAGGTCACAGATATCACAAGCAATGATAAAACAATATTGACTTTGAGCATAGCTGTGAAGGAGGGAGCAGTATGTACAAGATAACCTAGTTGTGTGTAACATGGCTGTATCACCAGCTAAGAGTGCTTTAAGAAGTAAAATAAAAAATATCCTTAAAAATATTAGCTCAGAAGAGAAAAAAACACAGTCCGCGAAAATACTTGAAAAGGTGAATATAGCAAGTATGAATAAAACAATAATTTGGGCTTAAATCTTCTGGAGAGGTTATGTACACTAATTGCAAACTATATAATGTAGTTGTAATTCATAATATATACAACAGCACATCATTTCTTTACAATTGTGTATTTTTAAGCATCCGAGATATATTTTAGTATATTATCTGCTTAATGAGTAGCACAAGTATGCGAAGATGCATCCTAATACAATAAAAATTTCTTCAGTATATAAAAAAAAAGTCATCTGAAGTCATGAAAATTGCGACCATATTGCAGCAATATTTGTGAAAAAAATTGCTACTTGTTTTGCCGGAAATAGAACAAAATTAATCCGAAATTATTGTAAAAATAAAAACTAAGTGTTTTCGTTAAAATTATGGCGTAATACACGGATATTTCTTAAAACAAGTATATTTTACATTATGCTGTTACAATAGCATCATAAAGTGTACATTAGATATTTGCATGCTATGCTTAGCATTTCTGTCTATGTAAGCATATTATGATACTTTTGTTTTCTCCTTTGTTAAAATATGAAATTTAAATGTACTTATTTTAACATATTTAAGTAAAAATAATACAATTTAACATGACTATAGAAAAAATTAGTGGTATTAACAAAATTACTGCTATTTACAGTTACGTGCATTGAAGCAATATCAAGATAGCAAGAGAATTTCAGTATACCTAAGTACTGACGATGAAATTGATACCGTACCAATTTTAAAAGACATATTTGATATGAAGAAAGAGGCTTTTGTACCACGATACCATGGAAAAAATATGGAAATGGTAAAACTGAAATCAATGAATGATTATGAGACACTACCATTAACAAAGTGGAACATTAAACAGCCAAGCATTACCGAGTGCCGTGAAAACGCTTTGGAAACAGGTAATCTTGCAATTTAATAAAACAGTAATTACTAAGGATACAATGTTACTGTAATTAATGAAAATACGAATATAATGAATAAATGTAGGAGAATAAGCTATAAAGTTAATCGTTAAATTTAATATAATATTTTTGGCCTATAAGAGCAAATCGCAGGATTTTTTGCGTGACTAATTTCTTTCTCGGTAGGTTAAAATCGCAGGATATTTTGCGTGACTAATTTCTTTCTCGGTAGGTTAATAATGTCTTGCGATATATCGTACGTGCCGGAATTTTCCCTATTCTTACGTACGTTGGGCAATTTCGTTATCGTTTTACGTTTATTTTAAATTTTGATCGTTAAAATTTCTTAGTGAATATCTTATTAATCAATAATTGATTTGCCTTTACTAATATTCCCGAGATTTAGTAATTTAAGCTCTCTGAAAATTCTACTATAGGTGGATTAGATTTCATGATCTTGCCAGGAGTTGCTTTCACAATAAATGGTACGTTGTCACTGCCATATTGTTTACATACGTTTACATATGGTATTTTTACATACATATACGTCGTAACTTATCGCGAGAGATTATATATCTACATATGTTATTATTATTATTACTAGGAGACCGTTTAGGACATGGAATGGGATATTATGATGAATATTTGAGAAAATATTTTGAAGCACGAAATACAAGACCATATTTGGTTGCAGTGGGATTTAAAGAACAAATACAAGAAAATATACCAACTAACGAACAAGATGTGCCTGTTGACATTGTACTCAGTGGATAATAAATAAAATACTATACAAATGAAAAGATAAAAAAGATCGTAACTTTATTTTGCACGTGCATTACTATTACTAAAGCGAAATTATTATATAATAATGTAATATAGATGTAAACTCACCACTGATAGATTTTTCTTCAATATCAACATAAGTTACTTCAAACTGCTGCTCCGACGCGATTTCTTGTAAGAATTGTACCAAATTTACATCGCCATCGTTAAAACAAGTATTCTGAAACAAAATTAAAAGGATTCTCACATTATTCGCAAATTCTTTTGCATTTACTTACATTAATGTCTAGGTTTCATTAATGTTCCTATAATGTTCCATAATGATGTACAATCTTTCTAACTTATAGAAGAATACGAGAATCGGAATATTTTTGTTCTATTCAACTGATTGAAACAAATTGAATACACACCTGCAGTTGAAAAAGCTTAACACCTGTGGACGACTTGAGACTCTTGTGAAATTTCGAGACTTGGATACTATGAATTGTTGTCAGAGTCGAGATTTTGCTACCTTTCAGATCGGCATAACGGGCGCTCACGTTTGCATTTCTTTGCACAATCTATAACGGACAATTACACATAAGATAACATGTAAAGCTTGTGTAATAATATGTAAATCTTCCCTGATAATCATTTAAAGGCAATACTCGATCAATAATTGTTCCATGTCTACTTAGAAAAAAGGAAATGAAGTGGAAATGACCCAACACTGTATAATTACATCTATGACAGAGTATAGAATTACAGAAAAGTTGAACAGTGTCGCATAAATAATGGTCCGTTATAGATTAAAACAGATCGGAAAGATAGCTTATATTTAATATAAAATAGCGTTAAGTAAAAATCACTTCCACTTCGCTAAACTCATACACATACGCGTGCACGCGTGCGCGCGCGCGCACGCGCACACACACACATACACACACGCACACGCTGATTGTTAGTTCTTCGAGGTATCTTAGTATCACAATAATAAAATAATCATGATGATAAAGCATATATACAAGCTATTCTACAATTGCGCAAGCATGATCGTGAAGAACTGTCCAATCGGAGTGTTCACTGATTGCTTTACTCTGATTGATTATCGTAATTACCTACAATCATTTACGTGATTGTAGAACGGTTTTAATTCATACACAAATAGATTTACCAGTTGATGCGCTCATAGATGTAGTCTAATGAATAAGAACATAGATGTGTGAATTCTCACCTCATCTTCGTCAACAGTAGGAGCTTGATTATTCATATCGTGTAGTGCTTGCCACATCTTGTGAGCGGCATGCCTCTTCGCGACTTTTTTGCTTTTTCCTTGACCGACCTCGCGATACTTTAATATTGAACAAACGATTGTAAACTGTCTTTCGTGGGGTAAACCTTCTTCACCTTCCATTGTATATTTTGGTGGTGGCCAATGACGAGACATACACATTTCTTGTAAGGCTCCGATTGGGTTGTTCACTACTTTTTCCTCTCCGTATATTTGTAGTTCTTGTAAATTTTGCGAGCTGCGAAAGGAAACAAAATACCGAATAAATTCCAATTCCAATTCAGCATATACAGTTTTTATTTATAGATAATTTCAAATCTGCAGACCGTTAAGTCTGACAGGCAGAGCTAAACGATACTTACTCGGGCAAATTATTTGGGAGTGGAGATTCTGAGGATTCGGTATTTACTCCAATTAATTTGTCCAACACCGCTTTTGCGGCAGCGTGTTTCGCTTCCTTCTTGGATCTGCCAGTCCCCATTGCTGAAACAATTGGATCTACTAGAGTAGCTTTGTACTTATTGACTGATATCACACATTGCTCAGCCTATGGCAAACGATGTTGACTGTATGGTTAGTAAATCACTGTGCAAATTCATTATCTACTAAAAACTCACTAAAAATTTAAGAGTCAATGGACAGTAAATTTACAGTGATTTGTTAATCACACAGCTAACACACTTGCCAGAGGGATATATGATGATGTAATATAATACTGAAGAAAGTACATCATCTGCCATAGGCTTCATTGCTAAGAATAAGTATACGATGATTATACAAACCAACAACATCAGCAACAGTGACTCTGTAACGAAATGTAGGCTCGTGAATAGCGCCTTCAATTTGTACCAATTCGTATTTTGGTATTGTGCCTCTGCGGGAAAGTAATTCTTGAAGAACAGACACGGGCGTTTTGCTGGGTATCGCTTTCATTTCCATGCGTGCTGCCTCATGCAGAGGTAACTTCTCCAACATCATGGCATGGATAGATACACGCATTCTGTTGCGGCGATTGACATTATTTGAATGGTTAGGAACACCACCTACACCAGCCATCATATTAGGCCCAACTTGTGCTGCCTGATGCATTTCCTCCATTGTGATGTTCTGAAAGCAGAAATGTCAGCAGTTGCTCCAACATAGAAGAAAAGATTGCTAAATTTACATTGCTGAGCTTAGCAACTTTCAGACAGATATTTCATCTATGACAACTGAGTGGCATTTCATCTATGACAACTAAATGATAATGACATATGCTGCAGTCAGTTCACACAAATGACTAAAAAATATCGGACTATCCCGCTAGCATATGAAGTTTCAACGCTTACTTCAAAGTTTCGGTCGTGATAAAGAGATACTTATAGGACGTCAGCGTTCTACAAGCGGAACGTTCTAATGATCGGGGAATCGAGACGAGCTATCTGTGCGTCAGACGTGATGGAATCGCGTCTCACCGATAGAATCGCCGACGGATGACCGTCGTGAGGAACTGTGCGGACACCGGCATGGCCGCCATGATTGTTATAAAATCCATCGATTGACCGTAATAACGCTCGCGCGAGAAATAAGCATGGAATTCGCCGGCGCGAAGCTGCCGGCAGGTCGTCGCCGCGCGGATTTTCCGCGCGGCACGTAAACAAAGCGTCACACGGGAGCAATGACTGACAAATTATAACATTGACGGTGATTAGCCATGACCGGTCGCGCGGCATTATGTATATCGTTCGCTACGCGGTTCGACCCACGGTCAAAATCAGCGGACAAACACGCATCTTACTTACGGGTTTTAACGGGCGGCGTGCTGCGTGAACTTCAGCTGGCTCCTCGGCAGGCCAATTCCTATGCGAAAAGCGAATCCCGCTTTTTGTGATCGATCCAAGTCTCACAAAAAGCTTGATCCGTTTGACGACAGAAAAATGGTTCACTGGCTAGCGGAGAATCCCTTCCTCGTTCGCTGCTCTACGATAGTGTGCCTGAAGAGCGGCGCGTTCCGAAACTCTGCTCCGAGCAGCAGAGTTAAGTTATCGTCGCGTTCTAAAAGCTGCGATCGTGTGAGAGAGCGGTCGTGAACATAAGAGCCAATCGGAATGTTTTATTCACTGATGGCTTTATTTAGATTGTTGTTTTAATTATCTACAACTACTTACGAGGTTCGTTCGCCTTGTTTATACTTTTAAGGTCGAATTCTACAATCTCTAGTTAACTTAACTGACCGATTATTCCATTGGACTTGACTAATCGTATTTAGCGTTAAGAAGAGTTAATCAGAATTAACCAATCACTGTTGAGACTTAACCGGTAGTTAAAGTTAAACGGAACCTCAGAATATCCCTAGAATGTTCTCAGAAGTTCTTGTGGGAGCGGTGCACTTGGACACGGTGCATTTAGACACAGCCAATCACAGCACCGTGTACTTAAAGACATTTATAGGGTCCCTTGGAACAGCGACTTGTGATTGGACTGTGTCCAATTGCCCCGTGTCCAACTGATATACACCCAGTTCTTGTGCTGTCTGGGGCTACGTTCCGAAATTCACTGAAAGTACTGAAATTCTATAGTATACGTAACATGAACTATAGATTTTCAGTACTGGCAGTGAATTTCGGAACGCAGCCAGGGTAGTAACACTGTTCGGGAAAATTCAGAGAATAATTTTCAGCAAGAGAGCCCACACAGCAGAAATGTCCCAAATACATTATAGGGATATCTTGAAGATATCGCATATCTCAAATATATCTTTAGGATATCCTTATGATATATTTTTGACACCTCTGCTGTATGAGAGGTTACATTTTTATAAACGAAGAATAATATCACAAAATTAGAACGTGCCAAATCTTCATTTTTTCCAATAAAATCAGTAATTACAAATACTGTTTACGAATGAATAGATATATTTTTCGTTGGATTTCTTTTTGTATATTTACATATAACACAGGTATGCATTTTTACTTTCAAGAGGGGTTCTCTCTCTCTCTCTCTCTCTCTCTCTCTCTCGATATGGTTTCAGGCGGCCAAAAGGCGTACCCCCAACACCACTCAACGCAAGAGGGGTTCTGAAAGGTTATCGGTCTTATGGCTCCTGCCCACAGGACGCGACAACGCTTGCCGCGCGGCGGAAGTCGCGTAACAGTCAATCAATATGTTGTTTTTTGTGAGAGTTACAAGATTATTACGAAAAGCAACATTTTGATTGGCTATCGCACGAACTTCCGCCGCGCAAACGTTGCTGCATCCTATGGGCAGGAGCCATTACTTGGGTTTCCTCCACTTTTCTCCTGTTTTGATACGTTGTGCACATGTACGAAGGGTAAAGTTGCACTCATTCTCTATCTCATACAATTCTGTTAGGGACACAGTTTCCTTGTCTATCAAACTAAATATCATTAAGGCTCTCTTATTGAAAAGTCTAAATTGTAATAAATATACGGCGAATAAGAGCCAAATGCTGGATGTTAGTGCAATTATATACGATGGGGAAAATAATAATGTTTGTAGTGTCAGACGTACGTGCCGAATAGGATTTCCGGACTTTTTTTAACGTACGCGGTGAATCTACCTTCCATTCACAAACCAAACCTAAATCCCCTAATATTTTTTTAAATAGTAATTTAATTTTAAATAGTAGTTTAATTTAATTATAATTATTAAAAACCTCCTTTCTCTTTTTTTTCATTTTAGATGTTTTTAGCGCGTATTGATTCCATTATTAAGTTGCGAAAAAATAATTAAATTATATTGGGAGTACAAATAAGTTTC